ATGTTTGTTTCTCTCCTGTAGGTTTGACGGTTCTGAACAAATCCAAGTGGAAAGGAGGGACGCTGCAGATTGAGACGGCCAAAGAGAGCTTCCTCCACAGGTCGGTTTTATTGCTGAACTTCATGTTTATAGAGGAAGCTGCTGGGTGTGTGGTTTAATTAAATAATGAGTCCTAAAGAAGATGAAGGAATGAAATCACTACAGACCAGATTAAAGGTTACCAGCCTTTTCTGAGCAACAAGAAAATTATATTAGCAAACCAAGACAAGTTTGAGTTTTTAGGTTTGACTCAATAAATAATGTTAAATCGAAATCAGTAGTTCAGTGTCTTACAAACTGATCACTGATCAGAATGGATTAAACATAAACTAATTTCCATCATTAGTCAGATAATGAATCAGCTGTTAAAAACAACTTTGAAAGTCAACTTAAAACGTCTGGGTTTTTTTTTTATCTGGAAATTAAAAAAAATAGAAAAGATAAACATAATAAATAATCATTACAATCCAGCACATCCCTGAATGTGTTTCATTTTCATCCATTTCCTGACACCCTTATCCCTGCTGGGGGCGTAAGGGGTGCTGGTGCCAATCTCCAGCTGCCTTCGCGTGAGAGGCGGGGTCAAGCCTGAACAAATCGTCACTCCATCGCAGGACAACACAGAGACAGACAGGACAAACAACCATTCACACACACACTCACACCTAAGGAGAATTTAGAGAAACCAATTAACCAAACAGTCATGTTTTTGGACTGTGGGAGGAAGCCGAAGTACCAGGAAATAACATACACAGGCTCAGGGAGAACATGCAAACTCAATGCAGAAAGACCTCGGGCTGGAAATCGAACCCATAACTGTCTTGCTGCAAGGCAGCAGTGCTACCCACTTCCAATGAGTAGCCCATATGTGATTTTCTCTGTCAAATTTTAAACCGCTGCCAAACAGTAAATAAGAGATTATCATTAGGCCCGAGCAGCTCACCGCTGCGAGAGCCTATTGTTCCTGTATCGTTTGTTATTAGGCCCGAGCAGCTCACCGCTGCGAGAGCCTATTGTTCCTGTATCGTTTATTAGGCCCGAGCAGCTCACCGCTGCGAGAGCCTATTGTTCCTGTACCGTTTATTAGGCCCGAGCAGCTCACCGCTGCGAGAGCCTATTGTTCCTGTACCGTTTATTAGGCCCGAGCAGCTCACCGCTGCGAAGGCCTATTGTTC